TTCCGTCAATGTGTCAATGTCAAAATAAATACTATTGACTGTCAAACATCTCATTATTCTCTATGCGTTACTTGTTTAGTCGAATACATTATCAATATCTCGTATAGATTTAGAAAACTCAAGCCATGTATGCAATCGATTTTTTTCCTATAATTAAGAAGAATTATGTCGTTGCTGCCTTGGAAGATGGGTAGGCCTTTGGTGTGGGACGCGACGTGTGTAGACATCCTTGCGCCATCACATCTTTTAAGCACCGCTGCATGCGTTGGTGCAGCTGCTTCCGCGGCAGAGGCCCTCAAACGGCGTAAATATTCAAATCTAGTGGGTAACTACTGTTTTGAGCCGTTTGGGGTCGAAACACTTGGGCCATGGGGTCCCAGTGCACACTCTGTGTTTAAAGACATCGCCCGTAGGCTAATCGACTCTACACGTGACCAGAGGGCTGGCTTTTTCTTCGGACAGAAAATAAGCATTGCCATTCAACGTGGCAATGCTGCCAGTCTTCTGGGAACTTTCCCCTGTGATAGTGATGCGGACGAATACTTTGACGCCTAAATTAAGGGTATAATTTTTGTTGTTTTCTTTTACTTTCTTTTTATTTAATAGTTTAGTTGTAGAAGAATTTTATTAAACATGTCAATCCATCCTTATGAGAAGCAATCGATTACCGAAGATCGACTGGCAGTTGGTTTCTAATTTAATCTATGGCATTCCCTATGAATTGCTGTCAAAAACCAAAACATCACTGACAATTTGAGTGGAGGTCAACTGTCATCTGCAGTCATTGGTTAATCAATGTCAATTTCCAAATAATCGCTGTGATGAAGTGATTCATTCGTTTACGTTTTCATTTCCTCATAAATTAGAGATATATTTCAATTAAAACATTTCATTTCTATAAACTCATATGTTCCTGATTCAAACACATAGCTAGTACCTTCTGATTGAAAATAATTTCATGTTAAAACGACTAAACTAGCCCGGCGGAAGTGAAATAGTATTTTGGTTTTACTAAAAAATCATTTTCCCAAATAAAATGCCTGTAAGTTGTTAAATTTATAGTTAACAAGGTGTACGCTGTACCTTTTGACACATAAATTTGTGTTGTACGTTAGGTGTGAACGCGTAAATATTAACTTAAGCGATTTCCTTATAGGCGTATCATTCGACGTTGACTGACTACACCCAATCCGTTGGTAATCTTGCTCTGTTGCCAATACGCACTTCGTTCAGAGGCCCGGCGCCCATGAGTCCGAAGATTGAATTGGATATTATCGATGAAGCTCTCAACTATTTTAAAGCAAATGTGTTCTTTAGGTTTTATGAGATCAAGGTAAGAAAACCAATTAGATTTTTATCTTACTAGAATATACTTTAAATAGTAGTATTATTCTTAAAACATTATTTTATTACAGTCTGATGCCGATAGAGTTCTCATTTACCTGACACTGTATGTTTCTGAATGTCTGAAACGGCTCCAGAAGTGCTCAAACAAGAACCAAGGACAACAGGAGATGTATATGCTGGCCATATCTAAATTTGACATACCTGGCGAATATGGCTTTCCTTTAAACTCTGTGTATGCCAAGCCTACTAGCACCCAGGAGGCTGGTATGATGAACTTTTTACTAGTGTTTCTGCATTTGGGTATTTGAGTGTATTTGGATTAGTGAAGTCTAAGCATATTTTTTATTTCAGATTTGATGAGACAGTATTTACAACAGTTGAGACACGAGACTGGTGCCAGAGTTTGCGAAAAGGTATAAATAAAATTAAAAAATATATTTTAGTATCCCGTGGTACAAATCTGACCCTTTTACCATAATTGTAATAATTGCTTTCCAGGTATTTGCTACAGAAGATGGCAAGCCCAGCAAGTGGTGGCTCTGTTTTGCCAAGAGGAAATTCATGGACAAGTCATTGTCTGGCCCTGGACAGTAACTACTGTACACCAAAGTTAGCATTTATTTTATACTCTGTATTTCATTATGAGATTTTTAAAATGTCATTCCAAAATGTTGTACACACTTAATGATGGTGCAATTATACCTGTATTAATTCTATGTGCTACTTAATTACACTTAAAATATTTGTCAATAAGAAATATTTCTCTATAATCATGGAGTATTGTTTGTCTAAAACTCAATTTATAACAGAATTTGAATATTTTAAGGACTATGTAATGTATTATTTCAAGTTTTAGAGGAATCAATAAAGTATTTGGAAATACTAATAATACATTTTATTTGAAAACTGTACAATAATATAATATAACATTATGTATAATGTGTATAAATATAAATTGGATTCAAAACTTGTACAGACTCTAAAATATAGGATTTAAATGGTTTGTAAATAATTACTTATTAGCTGCTATTAATATGATTGATTGGTAAATCAGACTACAAATGAGTAATACAACAGTCTTATGCTTAAAACTACAATAATGAATACACTGAGAGTTAATTGAGACCATATTCCTTAATTAGTTGTCCAGCTATGACAAGCCTCTGAATTTCAGAGGTTCCTTCATATATTTCTGTGATTCTCGCATCCCGGTAGTGTCTTTCCGCTGGCATATCTGAGACATAGCCCATACCGCCAAGGATCTGGAAAAAATAAAATAATTAGCGTCACATTTTTATTGTCAGTAACAAGTTATATATAACATGCAAAGATAAATGGTTGACATGACATCTGTTACACATACTTTAATATAGCAATTAAAAAAAAAAAAAAAACCATTTTAAGTGGAGTACATATAAATAAATTATTCTTATTATTCTATTCTTATTCTTATACACTTTTGTGATAAAGCTACACACCTGTATACATTGATGGGATAAGAAAGTAGCCGCTTCCGAAGCTGCTAGTTTAGCCATAGCAGCCTCTTTAGTGTAGGGCTTCTTATTGTCTTTCAACCAAGCTGCCCTCCAAGTTAATAATCTTGCGGACTCCAGTTGTAGAGCCATGTCAGCCAACTTGTTCTGAATAGATTGCAGTTTCATGATAGGCTTCCCAAATGCCATGCGCTTTGATGCATATTCAGCAGCTACATCTAGAGAAGCCTGAAAAATATCATAACCAATCAGTTGTCAGTATCTATCCTTTCTCTAGAAAGGGACTACTTTTGTAAATAGACATTAGTTTTCTAATTTACCTGTGCAATACCTAAGGCCTGTGATGCAATACCAATCCTTCCAGCATCTAAAGTCATCATGGCAATCTTGAAGCCCAGGCCTGGCTGACCAAGAATGTTCTCTTTGGGAATATGACAGTCTTCAAACATCAAGGAACAAGTTGATGAACCCCTTATACCTAATTTATCCTCTTTCTTCCCTAATTCTAAACCTTTAATAGGTTTTGGTACTATAAAGGCAGATATGCCTTTGTGCTTCAGACTCTTGTCTGTGGTAGCAAAGACCACAGAGGCTTTACTCTCATAACCATTGGTGATCCAACATTTTGTTCCATTCAAAGTCCATTTATCACCACCATCCTTAGCAGTGGTGGAAGCTGCCCCAGCATCAGATCCATTGCCAGGCTCAGAGAGAGCAAAACAACCAACTATTTCACCTGAAAATTATTCAATTACCTACTCAGAGTTAATGTGACTTGGTTGGACAAAATGGTTTAACATTATACTTTTACTTTTTTATATTTTTTCATTTTGTATTTGTATTATTGATCCTGTTGTATTGTTTTTGGTAAATTGAAATGTTTTTTATTGAATAACATTGTACTGTCCCACTTTGTCTATATTTGTGGGTGAATGGATAGTATAATAATATGTACATTTTATATTACTACACATTATAAAACTACCAAGTAGATTAAATCTGGAAGAAAATTATTTGAACTATACAATGAGCTGACCAGCCCAACAGTTAGAAGCATATTGTGCAAATAGAGTCCCATCACCGGATATTGTGCAACCTTTGGCCTGATCCTGTATCACAGATTGTTAAATTATAATTAATTATTTCCATCCTAAACCCATTGTGGGACTCTCACTTACAAGTGTCCTACATTCCTGAAAGGAGTGCAGGTCCATGAACAGCTCTAGAACACCAATTGTGCCACTGTTAAAGTAGCTCACTGGGTCCAAAGTCCAGACAATACAAACTGTACTGTTGATATAAAAAGTAGAATTAATGTTCAACTGAATTGCCATTTGCAAAGGCATCCTAATAATATATGATATTATAGTTCTAATATAAGTAACATACCAGAACAAAATGGTGTTACAAATTGTTCCTTTTGTTTGTCAGTGCCCCAGTGCATTACGGGCCCCAAATACAGAGAATTGTTCACAGACATTATCACTCCAGCTGACGCACATCCTCTAGAGATCTCTTCCAGGGCTATAGCATACGCGAGGTAGTCCAGACCAGCTCCGCCAAGTTCCTCCGGTACTGCTATTGCCATGAGGCCCAGTTCACCCATTTTTTTTATTGCATCGCCAGGATACAAATGTTCGCGGTCGAACTTAGCAGCATTGGGCTTTAATTCCCCTTCAGCGAAATCTCGACTTGTTTTGTATAACATTTGGTAAGTGTCTGAGAGAGCTGATAGCGAAGCTATACATCTTGTTTGTCTCACACTTGTTGGAGCTGTAATAAATGTAAATTCATTGAATGCATTTTTAACATTCCCTAGCTTAAGTAAATACTTAATACTAAATTCCATTTCCACTGGTAATTTGTATAGTAACTCACCAAGTGTTTGCACTAATTTAGAAAAATTCTTTATCATTTTAGAAATATTAAACAAAAACAATGAATTATTACAGGAATCAAAATAAATCAGGACTTTGAACTTAATATTCGTTTAGAAATTTATAGAGACTATAGAGATGTCCATTATTTGTAATGTTGTTTCGCTTATTCGATGCCTGCAGTTCAGTGTTATATTGAACGTTGAGATAATCGGGTAGTCGACTATCGTCTATGAAAAGAAATGATGATATGACATTGACATTGATTGACGGAATTAAATAAAAAATGTCTCTGGAACACAATTTTGTCAAAGTCAACAACTGTCAAACAAAAATAGGAAAAAAAATATACAAATTACAATGATAAAATGGAGACATTGTTAAGAATTATACCGAGAACTCCATTAAAAGTGACTACTTCTAGATTGTTATTAAATCATGTAGCAAATTATACAAGGTAGGTAGTAATGTATTGGATAGTCAATAACTGCATAACCTATTTAGTTGCTATAAGATTTTATCATGATTTCAGATTGGCTGAGGTAGGAAAACTCGAGCCTCCGAAGGCGTCAGGGAAATATGATACAGGCCAGTTAATTTTACACAAGGTGTTTGGTTATCGAGGAGTGATTCTGTTCCCTTGGTTGGCACGAGTGTATGACAGAGATGCCACCAATAAGAAGGAGACCAAGGACTCCGCGGCTACCACGGAAGCTTCAGGAGACTCCTTGTCTAACGTTGGAAAGGAAGTCAAGGGCAGAACACACACATTTTATCAAGTCCTCATTGACACTAGAGATGCACCTTACATAGTAAGTATCTTAATTAAAAAAAAATCATAGATGTATGGTACAAGATAGTAAATAAGTATCTTCTTAGAATTTCTCTAGTTTCTAATAATATTGCTATTATGTAACCCATTGTAACTTCAAATTGGTATGCATGTGGAATGTGGTACCTATATGTAGGTAAATGTGATGATCAGCAGCTTAATGTGTGATATGGCACATCTCCAAATTAAGTACTTAGCAACATAGCATTATTTGTGAATGATCTTTCTCTTTGAGAATGGTATCTAAAAGTATTCCTACCTAAAAATAAAATAATCTGACAAAATTGGGTATAAATAAATACAATAAACATTATTCACATGCATTATATTAAAAAAAGAACTATTGTATGTCTGTGGCAGACATCAAGGATTTAGTCCAAAAAGTATGCGAAACAATATTATTATTCCATTATTCCAAGTATTTAATTTGTAGGTTTATCTGAATTATATTAGTGTGATTTTCATTAAAATCTAAATTATACCTGTATACTAACGGGCTCAATTATTGTTGGCTATCATTTCACACATCGACATGAGGCCAGAATGGAAGAAACAGGTACAATGATATATGTACATGTATGTGTGTGACAAATGCCTGAATACCCTACAATGTAATCTAATAACTATGTCATTTACTTTTCTAACTAAGAATGTGTAGTCTATAATCATTATTGCATTATTTCTATATCATTATTTTCTTACTTAATTCATACCCGTAGAGTAGAAATTTAATCAATTCTCTGTTTTGCCCCAACTTGTATTGTTTATTAACAGCTCGGAAATTATGTATGTACACAAGATATTTGTAACATTTTTACAATAGCAGATAGTTCACACACAATCAAGTGAATAAAAAATGTATGGAACATTTTTAACAGCCAGTCTTAAAAGACTGCTAGAGTAGATGTAACTGTGATTGAGTAATAGATCAATTTCAATTTAAAGTACGAACCTATTCATTCAATCTAATCATGAAGTACAAATACATTAAGTATTACAAGCAACTCATTCACGAGTATGTATCTTCTATCAATAATCAAGGTCACATATTTATCCAATTCATGTGTAATATTTGTGTTTCAGCGAGCTCAAACAGAAGCAGTTACCTTCCTCGGTAACCAGGAGTCAAGCCGGAGTTTATATGCCATCCCTGGGCTGGACTACGTGGCACACGATGACATCATCCCCTATACTTCCGTAGAACGAGTTCCACTGCAGCATGAGCTGTTTGACAAATTCCTTATGCATAATGCTGATAAAGGTAAAGAGTAAAAGTTTAAATAGATATACTTTGATAAGTCTTTGAAGATAGGATATGAGGTAAAATTTTAACATCATTGAGCTATCAATTAAGTTGTGTGCTATACCCAGGCCAATGTTGTCGAAACCATTTTCGTTTGAATTTTATAGATAATTAGTTGTGTAGCTTTTGTATTTGTTGCACACATTTTTTTTGTTGCGCTTATAGTTTTCTTAATTATTTCACAAAAACATTTCCTGCTGGGGTAATGTTACCCCAGCCAGACATTTTTCTTTCTAATGGGAATATTTAAATAATTATTAGCTATAAAATTAGTTGTCTAGATGAAGTAAATGCTGTGCCTTATTTTGTATTTGTTCTTTCATCGGTTGCAAAGTTATTTGAGATTTTGCTGGGGTAACGTTTTTGGTTTTGCTAGATCTTTGAAATGGTTACGCGGATTCTTATTATATTTTGCATATGGCTTCTTAGAAATTAGTTTAAATTTGTTCTGCAATAAAAAAAAACAAAATAATACATAGCTTAAAGGTTATTTCAATAAATAGAAAAACACTTCAATTGGTCCCAGCACTCTCAATAAGAGCTCTAAAGACATGCTTCAAACGTTATTCTAAAGCCTGTAACTGCCTTCAAATGTGTCCTCTAGACACCGAAGCCTCTTTTAAAATCACTTGCGACTACGGCCGTATGTACTAAATAAAGCATCAAATTATTGTTGCTGCTAAGGCCGAGACCTTTCAAGTTAATTTTTTTTTTTTTTTTTTTTTAAAACACGTTGCCCCACACTAGGATTTTCTCCTGTGTCGTGGGTGCGTTTACAAACATACAAGTTCACATACACAATGACACCCAGACCTGAAACAACAATTTGTGGATCACACAAAGTGTTGTCCCGTGCGGGAATCGAACCCGCGACACGTTGCACGGCAGCCGGTTACCCAGCCACCGCACCAACCGTGCAGCCGATTCGAATTATAGCCGAGCCGAATTAAACATAAACTAAGGGTTTTTACTAAAACAAATGTTTTTTAGTATTTTTTAACAAATATATTGAGCATATTTGTGTTTAGGTATCCTTCGTTCTATAAATAGGAATTCCTGTCGTTATGGCATAAGTAGGTTAGTTGTATAAATTAAACAAATAGTTGAATTTTTTCACATAAAGAACAGGACATCCGATGAAATTTTTTTTATCTTATAAAATACCAACGTAATATGTGCAATCGTCTGTGTAGGGATGCCAGGACACGTTACTTTGACGAAAACCTGGCTAACCACAAATCTGCTGATGTTTTGAAGTTCCTGCGGTCCATGGGTATTGGAAAGTCCCCGGTCAATGTTTGTAAAGACGTTAATCTTATTTCCCTAAACCATCACTTCTCCCTCTCCCCCGTTTCTCTTGACCGCTTTACTAAATCTATTACTCTTCTAGATCTTTGCTCCTCGTCACCGGGATCCTGTTATCCTTTTGATCTCAGTAGTGTCTCAGAGAACGATGTTAAAAAGTCTATGCTCGCCATTAACTCCTCGGCCACTGCCTCACCCACTGGTGAGGATAGTCTATGTTCCCGCATGTTTACCCCCATTCTAAATCTCCTTCTCCCTATCCTTAATCACATTTTCAATTTCTCCTTATTCTCTTGCTCCTGCTGCTTCCTTCTGCCTGGGAAAATGCTTGTTATTCTTTTACCTAAAATAAACAATGCTTCATCTCTTTCTCATTATCGACCAATTTCCATGCTGCCTTTCCTGTCTAAAGCGATGGAACATATTGTTCACAAGCAGTTAACTTCTTTATTCTTATCACTCAGGATTTCGCCCTGGCCACAGCACTGTCACGGCTCTGTTCAAAGTAACCGATGACAGCAGAATAGTAAATGACTTGTTGTCTATGGCCCAGCGTAGGCCATGGACAACAAGTCAATTACTATTCTTGTGTTGTTGGACTTCAGTTCTGCCTTCAACTCCGTGGATTTCGACATACTGTTGGGGGTCCTAAAGGCCAATAATTTTTCTGTTTCTTCTCTAGCTTGGTTTGAATCTTATCTTCGGGGTCGCCGTCGTCGGGTTTGCTGCGGGCCGGGGTTCCCCAGGGCGGCGTCCTTTCTCCTCTGCTTTTCTCCATCTTTATAAATACCGTTACCGGGATCATTACTTCTAATTTTCATCTCTATGCGGACAGCTGTACCGTCACTTCGGCATGTCTGAAGCTTATCTGCTATCGATGCCATGAATTGTGACTTGGATGGTGTTGCTAAGTGGGCCAGATCTTTTGGCTTGCAAATCAATCCTCTGAAGTCTCAGGCCATGATCATCGGTAGCAGATATTATAGTAACACTCTCGATGTCTCTGGCCTCGGTCCATTGCGTTTGAATGGTACTCATTGACTCGAATTTATCGTGGAATGCACAGGTGAATGAAATCAGTCGGAAGGTTCATTACTCCATCCATTCGCTGAAGCGCCTCCAGACCCTGCTGCCTGTAAAAACTAAGATTTACCTCATCCAACCTACTACTATGCAGATGCTTGCTATCTGGATGCCACTGAGGAGCTTTTAAATAAACTTGACCGATTGCAAAATCAATGTATCCGTTTTGTATTCGGTCTTAAGAAGTATGATCATGTCTCCGAATTCCGCAATAGGCTCCCAATCCTCAACCCATGTTTTTAAGAATCAAGAACTCAGAAAACTCCATTTTAAACTCTCGTAACTTCAATATTTTATGGACAGGTTTTCCCAAATCTCTATGTTCTTTTTTGTATTTTATCCAAGAGTTGACAATTACGAGATCTAACTAACTAACTAGTGGGAAATAAACCTCACCGTCCATTTTATGGTACGAATAGTACGACACACAGCCAACAACCTGTTTGCAAGGTCCATTCCTCCCATGTCAGTGTTATAATGACTGACGATTTCTGGCCGTTCAACAGGAATGTACTGTTTCAGCCTTTTATCGTACCTTTGAACCAGTGCCGGATTAAGCCAGCGCGGGGCCTGTAGCAAATTCTGTCTAGGGGCCCTTGGTTTGCTATCGGTTCTCATTTAGGCATTGACTAAATTTTGTGCCTTTTTTTTGTGGCGTCAGTCGATGATTTATGAAAAATATTGTCTAGAATGACATTACAAACGAAATTGTCCCCATATATATGAAAGTGAGCCCATAGGGCTTATGTATGGAAATCTGTCTGGATTGAGTTATGAGCGTTGAAAGCAGCTGAAGTCAAACATTTTACTTTGGTTTTTTTTTATTCAAATCTTATATCTTATACTATTATATAAAGCGGAAGAGTTTGTTTGTTTGTTTGTTTGAAAGCGCTAATCTCCGTAACTACAAGTCTGATTTGAATAATTCTTTTTGTGTTGGATAGTGCATTTATCGAGGATGGCTATAGGCTATAAAACATCACGCTACGACCAATAGGAGCCGAGCAGAGTGTGTGAAACCGCGCGGAAGTAGCTAGTTATTCATATTTTTGTCACAATTCCCAACTTTAAATTGCGTGCAACTGTAGTGCGTCGGGCGCAGGAACACCATATCACACCATAATATATTCATATTGCCAGGCACTAATTTTTATTACCTATTTTCTCTCAGTCGATAACTTGTGGGATGCTTCTAGGAGTTGTGTCATGAAGATTCATGAGCGTCAGCTATGTTACCAGTGGTGGGTTGAGCGGTGGTAGCCGTGCGAACATCTAATAAAGTATATTTTGTTTTGCCATTGACTCCTGGTGGAAGACTCATCTACTTTATAGTTCGCATAATCTTTTGTAGAAAGGAAACCGTCGACTTTGTAAAGTGATATACGTCAGATGAGCGTATTTTTTTTTTCATATTTCATTCATACGTGAATAGACGAAATATAATTCATCACTTTGTGACTGAATGACGATATCTTTGTACAGAATCTTATGCTAGCTGTAGATTAGAGTATTAACTGTAGTTAAATTAGTGACTAATCGGGAGTATGTCGGGAGAAGTAGACAGAAAAAAAAATTTTCGTTTTCGACAATTGCCACTACTCAATCCGCTACCGACGCCGCAACTAACAAACATAGCATTTCGTGATAGGGTTCAGTAAAGTATTTTGCGGGTTTTCGACTGAGAGGATATTAAAACTTACATGAAAATCTGTCATAGGCCATAAACCGTATACATAGGTATAAAGTGAACACGTTAGCCAAGCAATCGAAATGTTTTTTTTTACTTGGGCAGTGGCCAGTTAATGGTTGACTCTGTTATGATTCCGTGGCCTTATTAAAAGAAGTCCACTATAAGCTTTACTATATTCCTTGAAATCGTTTATAAACATTTATTACAAAATATTTCTGACAAGTAAATGAAGAAATATGCGTTGTGTACGGTCACCATCAACAAAATAACAGGAATAATATAGCACTATTTTCACATCTTTGAACTGATTTAACTCGGTTTGGACTGTGTTTTTGATATAAGACCCCATATATTTTTTTGCACATTGCACATTTATACACATTCAATAAACTGCCGCGAAAAAATAAAAAGGCACCACGCTCCATACAAATTTGGTCATTGTCATTTAGGGTGTTATTACATAAAACAAAACTGTTACAAATAAACTTTTCTGGATTTGTTATGGGCAAATTTAGCGATTACCTACACTTTCAATATCGACTTCTTTAACACCTTGAATGCCATGGGGGACAAGGTATGGGCCACGCTAGCGGAGGATTTACCTTCAACAGTTTTCTGTCGGCAGTCAAAGCCTTAAACAAGTCATGCTCTATATTCAACATTGTGAGATGATTAAGACGTTCTTGGCCCGTAGTGTTCCTTAATAAATTCATTTTTATTCGTTTAAATCGGGCTCGGTTCGCCCACCAATGGTACCAACCAAGCGAACAAATACTCACTTTCCTATTCTTACACATACAAAATACCAACTATTTGTCTTTTTTCGTTAACAAAAAAATCTAATTACATGTACCTATGTTGGTAGTAGTTTTGAAAACAAAACATTTTCTTCATAAGTCTTGCTGTTGAAGTGGTGTAATTACGAAATACCTATTTGAGCGCGGGGCCCCCCAATTCGCGGGGCCCGTAGCATTTGCTACTCTTGCTACGTGGCTAATCCGGCACTGCTTTGAACTTTATCAGTGATATCCGCTGCGTGGATACTCGAAGCAAACAAAATGGGCTTATTATCGAACCATTTTGTTACAGCAATGGCTTTATCCTCTCGCACTAGGACATCATAACTGCCTCGACTTCTGCGAGAAAGACATTTGTCACTTTAGACATCATTTCTCAGGTATCCTGGAATTCTATTTTTCATGATCGTTCCTGCACACTTAAATCCCCTTGAATTGAGTTCCTCGATGAGTGTAAAAGTTTTGAAGTATCGGTCACAATAGATGACATAACCAGGCACCAAAGTTTCAGTTAATTTTAAAACTACATTATCACGCAAAGAATGTCTAGCTTCAGACTCTTCAAATGTCGTTCTCCCTTGGTAAACCAACATATCACATATCAACCCATTGGGATTGGCAAAAACAAAAGCTTTTAAACCAGTGAAATGTGGTTTTCCCGGACAATATTGTCTAATTGGACAAGCAGCGGTAAAAGGAATAATCATTTCATTGATCGATATGTTTTGAATTGATACCTTTGACCTTTTATTATTCGATCTAAAATATACCGAACTTTCCAAAGTTTATCCTTCTGTCTTTCTTCAGCAGTGACATCAAGATCATATACTAACTTCAATGAGTTCCGCAGCTGAATGTATCTGTCATGAGACATGGCATCAGTTATAAGGGGAATAGCGTATTTGCGCTTCTAGTACATCCTTAAATACGGGTAATTGATGCATGACATAAGTAAAGTTAAGTTGTATCCACATATTTAAGTTTGCACTCCTCAATAGATAATCTGAGAAGCCTTCAAGATTTTTCGACAGCTGTCTGGTTAGACTTTTCCACTATAACTTGGTAAAGCTGTGATTGTTTTTAAGTAGTAAGTTTAATAATAACTTAAAAGTTCAATTGAAATGATTATATTACCTGTCAATAAAAATTATTTAATAATCACGTAGTTTTTTTAAAACTTGTGTACTAAATTTGTAACACTATCCTACATATTTTAGAATTTACCATAATGTTCTGCATTTTCGCTTTTTCGTAACCTTTCGTAACCTAAATTTGGTCGGGTTACCCCGTGGTAACCCGACCAAATTCCGACCGTTCATATACTTCCTAATGACTTTAATCGTATTATCTCATTAATTATCCAATGTATTGAGCTGAAATTTTACTGATATACAACTGAACTAAAAAACTAATTATTGACATACTATTCAGTTCATATACCCAATCTAGTGGCAAAATAACACCGCGCGCATCAAGACCGTGAAGAACTCAATATTATCATAACTTGTTAAATACTTACAGGATACTATAATAAAACTTCACATACATTTGAAGGTAGTTACAGGCCTTAAAATCACGTTTCAAGTAAGTCTTTAATGTCGGAATACTCAAACGTTACTCAATTTTAAGTCGCGCTTAAGTATAGTTCTGTCTCTACAAATTCTTTGTGAAATGACAGAGATGGCATGATATATAAGCACGACTTAAAATTGAGTAACGTTTCAGTATTCCGGCATTAAGCTCTTATTGAGAGTGCTGGGACCAATTTAAGTGTTTTTCTACCAACCACCAGAAACCATGTGCAAAATATGATAAGAATCCGCTTAACCATTTCAAAGATCAAGCAAAACCAAAAACGTTACCCCATAAAATCTCGAATAACTTCGCAACCGATGGAAGAACAAATACAAAATAAGGTCTGTCTAGATGAAGTCATCTAGACAACTAATTTTATAGCTAGTAATTATTTAAATATTTCCATTAGAAAGAAAAAGGTCTGGGGTAACGTAACCCCAGCAGGAACTGTTTTTGTGAAATAATTAAAAGACTATAAGTGCAACAAATATAAAAATGTGCGCAACAATTACAGAATCCACACAACATGTGGCCTGGGTAACGCATACAATTAAGTCACCATTATTAAAAACTTAAATTCTACGTTTTTCTAAATTACAATAGTATGCTTAGAACAGAGCAGTAGTCGTCCTTTATTTAGGAATGAAAGACTCATCTCAAATCCCTTTTTGGTACTTTCAGACCCTCCCTTTATAGCTCAAGAGACTCTTCGAGCCTGGCAAAAGAAGAACCATCCTTGGCTAGAACTAAGCGACGTACATCGAGAGACCACAGAGGGCGTCCGTGTTACCGTCATACCATTCTACATGGGCAGCCGCGAGTCACAAAACTCTGCAGTGTATTGGGTAAGTTACAGGAGAAATAAGATCTTTATATACTTACACACAAAACAACTTGAAAAGTTACCTGTTTAGTAAATTTTCCTATCTTGATTAAAATCCTGTCAGCAGCATCATCCAGACAACAGCAGCGCCTACATTTTTCAGTGAAAATTCTTTATTATATTTTCAACTTTGAGTTTATTGCGAACTGACAGACCGACCTGACCTGAGATCTATGTTTTAAAATATGTAAGATTATTAATGAATGTATGTACTTTACAGTGGCGTTATTGTATTCGTCTGGAAAACTTGGGTTCGCAAGCGGTGCAGCTCCGCGAGCGACACTGGCGTATATTCTCTCTGAGCGGCACGCTGGAGACAGTGCGTGGCCGCGGCGTGGTGGGGCAGGAGCCAGTGCTCGCGCGGCACTCGCCTGCCTTCCAGTACAGCAGCCACGTCAGTCTGCAGGCGCCCAGCGGACATATGTGGTCAGTTAACATAAATTCTATTACATTAACACAAAACACTGCTGAAGGGAATGAGAACGGAAGTCCGTTTTTGAATTTGTCCTTTTGAGAAATTGGCAAGTGTAAACTAGGCAAGTGCCTAGGGCGCCAGATTACAAAGGGGCGCCGTAAGGCTGTGAGACGAGCGAGCTCATAAAGCGACGGCGGCACCAAAAATATTATAGCCCATAAGGTGCTTGCCTAAGGCTCTCTCTAGGTCTTTTTAAGTGTGGGATAGCCATGCTTCGGCACGAATGCGGGCCATCGCCAGAGTGATACCACGGCCTCACAAAAAACCGACGTGAAGCAACGCTTGCGTTGTGTTTCATCGTGTGAGTGAGGTTACCGGAGGCCCAATTACCCTCCCCTTCCCCAATCTCCCCAATCCCTGAATCCCCAACGATCCGCAAACTCCTAATCGCCAAAAAAGCCGATAACGCACTTGTAACGCCTCTGGTGTTCCAGGTGTCCATGAGCGACGCCGATTGCTTACCATCAGGTGATCCGAATGCTCGTTTACCGGCTTTTGCCACAAAAAAAGGTGTAATCTGCGTCTGGTAGTCCAAATTCAAAGGTCCAACCAGTTAAAAATCGGGCCTGCGGACAGCGAGCATGGGTAGCTCGCCGCCCGACTATAACCAGACCCGAGCGTACGGCGCGTTGCGTTCCGCGCGCGCCTCAAAGAGTCGTCAGACCACCACTGATGGGGTCTAAATAGGGCTGATGCCAATACGGAGCCGCGGAGAACTTAACGGGTTACCGGGGCTCCTGCTCGAAGTGCAGGAGTAGGAACGGGGTGGTTTTTAATCAGTAAGAGTCTGACACTCCCTTCCGCCTCACCCAGGCGGGAGGGAGTGTCAGACTCGGGAAAATCGTCGAAAGTCTTATTTGATGATTTTCCGCCCTTAAAAAAAACCAGTTAACCCTTTAACCGCCATCACCTTAATATTTCGTATTGTAAGCATAGTACCCCACGCGCCAAGACGGAATATTGCGTAAAAGTCCTATCATTTGAAAAATGTTAAATAAATGTTGAATTTACTTACTAAATCTTAGTATATTTCGTGTTATTACTTTATTTTTAACAGTACTAGATATATATTTTAGCTAATTGAATGAAATAACTAAAGATTCTCAGTTCACGATACATATAAATATCAACCTACTTCGCCAAACCCGTGATTTCACGCAGACTAGTGTTGTACCACATATGAAGTTCCTGATGCTAAATTAATAAAAAACATCCTGTTTTTTATCAAATTATCAACTAAATATTTACCTATTCTAATTTCATATTTATTAACGATTTTATTATTTATAAAAAACCCAAACTTAAGTGTTATAATATGTAGAAATCAACAAAGCAATACAAATTACCGACTTATTCCAGAACGTCACTAGTGCAGGCGATCCGCGAACGCCGGCGCCTTAATTTTACGTACGGCTCAAGGTCAACTAAAGTCATATTTTAAATAAGCGTCAGTTGCGCTAACGCCATCGCCGTGATAAGACGTGCTTTTATATTATTAGGTCTAGGCTAGTGACGAGAAGTGGTCGATGATGTTATACAACGACGAAGAATTATTAACGATATTGCAACCATCAAACAATGATATTAGTAGTGGAAGCAGTTTAACAGATAGTGATAATGAATCGGTAAATTTTGTTTTTCTAGTCTGTTTATTTATCCTAAAGTTAAAAATACAGCTTGCAAACAATAATATGTGTATTTACGTATTTATTTTGTATTAAAGAAAAATTAAAGTTGATTTAGTTATTTTAATTGTTCTTAATATTATTAAGTGTCCCAATATTTTAACACTTGGTAGATTAATCTTAATAAACAGATTATTTTTTTATAGATAATGATATAAATTATGTATCATTTTTAAATGTCATGCTGTCATTTTCGTCTTCAGGATAATAGTTTAGATAAAGTTAATGTTTTCTTAATTTTCTTTTATTTATCATATATACATATTTCTTACATGCTTAATACAAATTCATTTTAAATTGCTACAGGAACACGAGGAATCTTCTACTACTTGGAGTGAGACAGCGTTCACACCTGAATTGTGTGAATTTAATGACTATATAGCAGGAATTAATTCAAATGGTGTTGATTTTCAATCTAAAGAATTGGAATGTTTCTTACATTTTCTAGGCGACGACATTATATTAAAAATAATAGAATTCACTAATGCTCAACATCAAAAATTTATACGTCGCTGTGATATAAGAGTTTTTTCGAGGCTACAGAATTGGCGAGAAATTTCTGTTGCAGAAATGTATGTATTCTTGGCTGTTACATTCTTATTTACACGAAACAAACACCTGACTATAGAGGAACACTGGGCAACGGACCACTTACTACAATCTCCCATATTTTCCAAGACAATGTCTAGAAACAGGTATACTACTATACTAGGTTTACTTAGTTTTGCTTTACCAGGCACGGACTCTGGCCACGTTCTAAAAGACATACTACCTCTGCTGCAACACATCAAAAACAGTTTCAGGAGTTCTCTTACGCCATATCGAGACTTATGCATAGACGAAAGTATAATGCCTTATAAAGGTTACATTTCAATTAAGCAATATATACCAAATAAAAGAAACCGTTTTGGTATTAAGCTATTTATAATGTGTGATGTTAAGACTAAATTTATAATTGAATTTATAATTTACTGTGGATCACGAACTGAAATAGACGATCCCAATAATTTAGGAATCACCGGAGCCGTTGTTACGAATCTTTTAGAAGGCTTAACCGATGAAAACCGACGAATTTATGCAGATAACTGGTACAGTAGTCCTAAACTGTATCAATACTTACACAATAGAAAAACATATGCATGTGGCACGGTGCGGCTCAATCGACTTAAGAAAGCTGGTGCAGGAAATTTTAAACCTTTAAAGAAAGGAGAAATTCACGCGCTGTACAACAAACCTCTGATGGCTCTGAAGTATAAAGATAAAAGAGACATTTATATGCTCTCTACATGTCACACGGCTGAGTTTGGACCTACAAATAAATACAATAGACAAACCGGGCTGCCTGTAATGAAACCGGAAATAATTATAGATTACAATAAAAAAAAGGGGATAGTTGATAATACAGACATGTTGTTACATTCAGTTCAATGTATAAGAAAATCTAAAATATGGCATAAAAAGCTCGGTCTGCATCTAATTGATCTATGTATGCTCAATGCTCATGCCTTCTTTAAAATATTTCATACAAATACAAGCTTGGCCGATTTTCAATTAGGAGTTATTAGGCAGTTAATAGAAAAATATAAAGCGCCCGAGTTGGAATACTCTATCCCGACCACTTCTCGATCCACAAGTGCACTACGATTAGCAGCACAAAATCTTGCTGACCATATGCCAGAATATACAAAAGGCAAAAAATCAAGACCTTGTTTTGTATGCCAACATACAAAATTACATGAAAGACGTCGGAGAGAGTCTCGCTTTATGTGTGAAATTTGCCAAGTAACACTATGCATCGTTCCATGCTTTAAAATATACCATAAACAAAATGAGTTTTAATTTAACAATAAATTACTCACGTGAATATACTTAATTACTTAATTTAGTCTGTCTTACTATGTCTCACAATAGTTATTATAATCATAAATTGTATCGATAAATTAAAAAAAATATGTCCCAACCTAAAATGACACTCGGTAATAATAATTTGGCTTGATTTTTTTAAGTCATTCGTATTTGGCTTTTGAAGTGGACGGACGTACATCATGTCAGCATCTGAAAATTCTCCTCCGCTATCACCATCTATTCTCAAAACAAACATATTTGAAAAGAGAAAAAAATACACCGATGCATCGACGCAGACGGAGTCATATTACACGTGTTATGTGAAATCGAAAGAAATTGATTGTACAGCCCAATTTAATTTACCTGAATTAAGATTTTTTAATCAAAGACCGCAAGATCCTCGAAACGAGTATTTTGGTGCACTGATAGCATTTGAAATGGAGTCTGTTCGACCCGAAATTCGTTCTCAAGTATATATGAACATCATATGTTTAATACGTAATGCTCGTGCAGAAGACATAACAGAAAATCAAGGGGCTTTTAGCCCGTGTCCATCTCCAGAATATTAATTTTTTATGAAGAAATATGAAGAAATTATGATTGTTAAATAAAAGACTGATTACCTATGTTTGAAGACTGATTTATGTGATACGTACTACTTAATAAAGAAATAAACCTTTGATTATAAATGAGTAAGTTTTATTTTTTTCATTAGTTTGTTTATCGATAACTATATTTTACAACATTATGCAAAATTGTACCTAAAGTTTGCTGGCGCTAGATGCACTCCACGCGTATTATGACATGGCGGTTAAAGGGTTAAAAATAATTTTTTTTTTTGCAGGGGTACATTTAGAATGGAGCGGGAAGACGGTTACACATTTGATTGTAGGATTCCACCATTTTCATTGGAGAGCAAACCGGACGAGAACGTCCCGCCTGCGCCTACGCCGGCCGCGTGACCACCTCGCAGTCAACGACCGGCGCCTGGCCACGCCCAGTTACGACAATGCACTCGTACCTATGACATAAGTGTTGTGGGAACTAGTCTGAATTTACATTTGTTACAAACCGACTATATTCCATGATCCAATGACCACGTGTCCAATGGTTCGACAGGATGTGATGAATATATTAATTTTAATTTGTGATATTCATTCAACAGTCGTCATTACTATTACTAGTGACTAGTAATGATAGTATACCCGTTAGCTTTATTTATTATGTTGTTGTATTAGATTGAAATTATTCGATTCAACACATCCCTTGTTTTTGTAAAGAATAAATTCCTTAGTTATGTGTTAATTCCTAGATCTGTAATAAATTACAGTATTCTGTTTGAAAAAAAAAATGTATCACTGGTTTATTTCATTTAATAGTAATGTCTAAATTCAATTAATGTTTTGGTGTAGACTGTGTAGTGGACTGTCGTGTTGTATAAAGAAATAAAACATATTTGGCTATCTCTAGGAGACTTTAATAAGTAACTTCAAAAAAATAAGGAAGTAAAATTTGGAATTGCACAATACTATACATATATTCAAAGCTGTACAACATAAATAATTAACATTTTATATAATAATACTCAGTTGCATACAATTATTCTATAAATATTAGGATTAATATGTCCTAGCTATTCTACTAATCCCATTCTTCTCGTAAATAACTTCAACTCCTAATTTGATTCCATTTCATTTCATGTGAACAATCAGAATTAAGCTATGGAGAACTTTAATAGCTATGTTATGCTTGTAATTACAAAAAGGCACTAGTTTTGCTTAAATTAACATTTGTAATCTTTGGTAAAATCACATGAATGAAGTTCCGAGCAGACCAGCGCGCGGTGCGAGCTCGGAATGCGCTGACGTAGCGTACTGGCTGACTGAGGAAGCATACGTAGAGCTGCGAGGCTTAATAAAGCACAATATTAACGTGGAACTTGCTACAGCGCGGGGTGACCGAGCCAGCCAGTACGCGGCGTGCCCGAGCTAGTGACTGACATTAGCGTACTGGGCCGCTCGAAACTCAAAGCGACGCACTATAATGTATCACAATGCTTCAAAGTTTGGAGTCACAATTTCAATGGAAGGTTCCAGATCATCAAATTCATTGTACAAGTAATTCTTATAATTTAACAACAACCCCATATTAATATTCGGAACAAGTTAACATTTAATTAGTTTCCCATTGCTTCCATTTTATTAGTTTGCAATATTAAAACTCGCACGAGGCAATTAAGACTAGTGATTAATTATTATTTTGCTAAATTTAAAATATGAAGTGTATCAAAATATTGCTTATTGAAATTATTTAGACATTCGTTTCGTACCTTTTGTGTGATAACAATATCAAGTTCATACTTATTCGATTTATCTAGTCCTGGCAATATTCTAAGAGTAACACCGAGGTTTATCTGGCTGGAACTAGTCTAGCGCGGTTCTGGCTCGCCTGTACCTGACTTCCCCGAAAACTCTAACTGTAATAAACATTCAAGGAAGCCACTTCAATAGAGGCTGAGCGCAGATAACAAGTAGTACAACTCAAACAAATAACAAGAGTTTAATGTAATTGGGACGCAATTAATTGACTTCACCTAATTCGAGCCGGCCAAACCTGGGTAACACGTCACAAATCACAATCACAATTAACTATAACTTATCCCGCAACATTAACACATTCCTTGCGATCCGTGTTTACCGCGCTAGTTGTATGATGAGGGCGGCACACATTTCGAAGAACTCCATAGTGTGGTGTCCTTGAGGGCCCGTCGGGGACGCGGGGGGCGGGGGCGGGGCTGCCGCCACTAGAGGCGAGGCTGCCTCCTCGTCAGAATCTTCTTTTTCGCCGGACAAAGACTTAAAGTCCAATAAATAAGACTTGTAATCCACCTGGTATAACTGTAGTGACATCTTCACGTACTTTTCCGTCATTTTGTTAAGTGTGCGTACCCTGTAAGTCAATCATTAGACGTAAGCTTTTCTAGCAAGAACAACCTACATAGGAAATCAAGAAAGAAAATCCGTTAATTTACGCTGTTATACTGTATGTTATGGTTATTAATTCTACAGCCTTGCCAGTTATTGCCGTAATCCAATTGGCTTACCTATACCCTAAGCAACATGTTTTTTTTTTATAACAAATAACTATCAGAGCTACTACTAAATACAATTATGTGGTTGGATTTATGCCTGTGATGCCAAATAACTCTTAAGTTCTTCTTGGGTAGGTTGTATTGTAATGAATAAAGGACAATGTCACCTACCTTACGTGATAAGGGTTGATAACTTTCCATTCGTAGTCGAGAGCCTTCATGGCGCGGAACACTTCTAGCATGATGTCGTTCGGTTTGCTTTGAGATCTGATGCCCAAGTGCCATTTTGCTCTGAACAGAAAAATATTATTTAAAATAATTTAGTCTCTTAGGCTGTAACAATCTAATTTGTAACACGGCGAATACTAGGTGTACTGTAAGCTTTATCCCATTTTGTGGTCCCTTTTAGTCCCCGAAGGCGAATACACACACAATACTAGTTCCCATAATAAATATCTTGGGTCAAGAAAACCTAAGAATCAAAACAGTCCTCCCTTGTTTAGTAGTTAGGTCAGGCGTGCGACCATTCAATCAATCTAGCTGTGGAAATAATTTATGTTTTTGTGTATAGTACATAATGAGGTCCTGACCTCTTCACTGGTGTCCCTCTCGCTTTGTCCTGCTGTTGGTGTGGATGCGGTGCGATCCGCTCGGGGTGCGGACGTGCCGTCTCTGACGCCGCGGGCGGCGAGTTACCTGCTTGGAGATAATAGAACAATTATTTTAAACGATGTGTAAATTTTATGGTACGATTAGAATAAAAGTAGCAAGAAATAATTATTTATACGATGGGAAAAGGGGACACTGCACCGCTTGAAGATCCATCCAGATTAGCAAATATCAAAAATCGTACTGGTACTGCTCGAACCTAGGAATTTGGAAATAGTGTATTGACTCCTGACAGTAAATGATTAATTAAGTTGCAAATTCTCGTCACTAAACGTGGCACCCGGGGCACTGGCCCCAGCAGGAGGGACCTGTTAAGATGAAGAGCCTTGTCAATGTGGACGTTACAGACATAGACATGAACAATTAATGACCCTTACTTGCTACATAAAAGTCCTTTATTTCTGCTTTAGCAGCTTCGTCAGCGATTCTCTTATTGTCTATGATGAGATGGTAGGCGATGGCCAGTTGGTCGTGAGGGTCTCCGCTCAGTAGAGCGTTGTGAACTTCATGTTCTTTCACGCCAAACTTGTCGCACACTTCAGATATCGCCTCTGTGTCGATGACACTGCTGTCCTGTAATATTTAAGTGTAGACAGTAATATCAAAATGGTTCTTGTTTATAATTTATATAATAAAAATAAGACTTGCTTGTTTTATGTAGGTAGGGTGTGCGTTACCCAGGCCAGATGGTGTCGAAAATGGTCATTTGAATCTTATAGATAATTAGTTTTGCAGATTATGTAATTGTTGCGCTTATATTTTTTTAATTATTTCATAAAAACATTTCCTGCTTGGGTAACGTTACCCCAGCCAGACCTTTTTCGTTCTAATTAATAATTCCCATTAATGAAACTTTACATACATTTGAAGGCTTTAAAATAACGTTTAAAGTAAGTCTTTAGAGCTCTTATTGAGAGTGCTGGAATTGAAGTGTTTTTCTATTTAATGAAATAACCTTTAAGCTATGTATTATTTTGGTTTTTTATTGCAGAACAAATTCCTGAGAAGCCATGATAAAAATCCGCGTAACCATTTCAAAGATCTAGCAAAAACAAAAATGTTACCCCAACTAAATCTCGAATAACTTCGCAACCGAAGAAAGAACAAATACAAAATAAGGCACAACATTTACTTCATCTAGACAACTAATTTTATAGCTAGTAATTATTTAAACTGTCAAACACCAAGCGGTCACCGGTGACCGCAACCTATTGTTCTTTAATTGTGTCTATAATAACGGTGCTCGACGAGTTAAATATTCCCATTAGAAAGAAAAAGGTCTGGCTGGGGTAACGTTACCCCAGTAGGAAACGTTTTAGTGAAATAATTAAAAAACAATGTATAAGCGCAATTAATTTAAAAATGTAGGTACGCAACAATTAGAGCAGCTGCAAAACTAATCTTTATATATATAAGGTGCTCTATAATTATCTGCCACGGCTTTAGTCGTCGCTTAGTCAATGAAAACAATTGCTATCTCTTTCCACGTGTACTGAGAATGAAAACGGAAATCAGCTGACTAGTTCGTCACTATCTAATCTACTAGATACTCAATAGGCAGGCTAACAAGGGTTTTAAAAGTGCAATTACTTACCAGGTACGGCATTCTTCCGAAAAGCTGATGTAGGTAAATAAGATTATAAACTTCCCATCACACTTAAAACAGTTTTTTACACACTTTTACAGTTATTTACACACTCTCTACCTACTTATCTACAAAACTGTTGCACAAGCCCACCTTCGCGTTGCACACAAATGAAGGCACGCTTCCAAACATGTCATATCACATTATTTAATGTGTCCGTTTCACTTTTACTTTATTTCGCGTTTGATTTAAAAGACGCCACAAGTTATTGTCTCTATCATCGTAAACTCCGGCAGTATCCCTTGTGCTCGCAAGAGGATGACACCGAAAGAACTCTAACACTTCCTCTTCGAGTTCTGATTTGAATTTCGTCGCCTGGGAGGCATTTTTACGTAGCGCGCGCGTATCTCCGACATTGAAACTAACGAACGTCCGGGCAGGCGGGGGTTGACGGGGCTACTGGCGGCCGGGCGGCGCGTGCGACGTGTTCTGCTGGGGTGTGCTGTCTCGTTCTTGAACGCCCCGTCATACGCTGTTGCCATCCTTATCAGACCGCTCAGCGCCGGGCGGCTTGGAGCACGCTGCACACCCCCGCGCGCCCGCACCCTCTCCTGCACTCGTCGCACGCGCTGGTCAACCGGCCGCCGGGCAGGCGGGGGTTGAGCTACTGATAAGGATGGCAACAGCGTATGACGGGGCGTTCAAGAACGAGACAGCACACCCCAGCAGAACACGTCGCACGCGCCGCCCGGCCGCCAGTAGCCCCGTCAACCCCCGCCTGCCCGGACGTTCGTTAGTTTCAATGTCGGAGATACGCGCGCGCTACGTAAAAATGCCTCCCAGGCGACGAAATTCAAATCAGAACTCGAAGAGGAAGTGTTAGAGTTCTTTCGGTGTCATCCTCTTGCGAGCACAAGGGATACTGCCGGAGTTTACGATGATAGAGACAATAACTTGTGGCGTCTTTTAAATCAAACGCGAAATAAAGTAAAAGTGAAACGGACACATTAAATAATGTGATATGACATGTTTGGAAGCGTGCCTTCATTTGTGTGCAACGCGAAGGTGGACTTGTGCAACAGTTTTGTAGATAAGTAGGTAGAGAGTGTGTAAATAACTGTAAAAGTGTGTAAAAAACTGTTTTAAGTGTGATGGGAAGTTTATAATCTTATTTACCTACATCAGCTTTTCGGAAGAATGCCGTACCTGGTAAGTAATTGCACTTTTAAAACCCTTGTTAGCCTGCCTATTGAGTATCTAGTAGATTAGATAGTGACGAACTAGTCAGCTGATTTCCGTTTTCATTCTCAGTACACGTGGAAAGAGATAGCAATTGTTTTCATTGACTAAGCGACGCATCGCGCGTAATTTGTGAACGACATTATGCAGAATGTAGTCAATGTTTACTTAATTACTGTATGTAATTAACTGGTCCGGGGTACGAAATTTCTTCACAATTGTAATCTGTAAACATAACACTACCTCCCATTAAAGCCGTGGCAGATAATTATAGAGCACCTTATATAATTCTTCTGTGAGTGTGTATGTCACTGAACTTATCTCAAACAGAATTTGATGAAATTTTTTGTGTATGGGGATCTGGGAATGGTTTAGATTCACAAATTAGACCGGCAGATGGCGCTGCAGTCGATGTTTAGGTTATTTATCCTAAACAGCTTACCTAACTAATTTGAATGAATTTTTGTTTATACATTCAAGTAGATATGCAGGACAACGTCTGTTGGGTCCGCTAGTTATCTATAAGATTCAAATGACTATTTTCGACAACATCTGGCTTGGGTAACGCACACTTATGTAGGTACGTAATAAATATTTTTTCTTTATTTATAGACTTTTCAAGACAATCAAGACTGCCTCGTTAGCAGAGTGGTCGCAAGTGTGGCTGCTAGGCAAGGGGTCTCGGGTTCGATTCCCGAGTCGGGTAAAGTTTTACTGGGTTTAAAAAAAATTCTCAGTAGTAGCACGTAGTCGGGAATTGTGGCCGGTATATGGCAATGGGCTCACCCCTTATGGGTGTCACATTGTACAGTGGCATTAAGTGCCGTGATGTGCACCTCTGCTTAAGTGCCTATCCCTTCTGGGATGAAAGGCGCGATGATGTTATATAGATCGTAATGGCACCTAAACAAGAGTATTCGAACAAAATTTCCACATTCGGAATTCTCATTCTCATGTTTACCAATAGAAGAATCCTTTGATCCCTAGTATTTTGCAAAGTAAAATCTATTTCAATATGACAAATATTTCAAAGCACGAATGAATATGTATGTGATGTGATTGTATAGGTGACTCATTTACTTCTGTGTCAATGTCATTATTCAAATAGGGGTCACAGAGGAACACACTCATTTCCACATTTACTATTATACACAAACAATACAACAAGCGGTATACAATGCGCTAACACATTTTTGGCGATTTATCTCATTTTCCTCTTAAAAAATGTAAATTTTACAGCATTTATCTGCATTTTTATGTAGACTAACTGCAAAGAGGGAGTCTTTTTTAGAAATCTCAAGTGTATGCAGCATAACTATGAATTATGTAGCGAACTTGCATATGTAGAGCCATATTACCCCTAATGTAAACTAGGCAAGTGCCTATGACGCCACGTTAAAGAGGAGCGTCGCGACGCCGCGAGACGCGCTTGCTCATAGAAAGACGGCAGCTCCAAAAAAATTAGGGACGTCTATAAGATGCCTTGCCTAGGGCGCTCACCAGGCTTAATCCTCTATGCACATACAAGAATTTCATGACAAAATGAGGGGACAAGACAAACACCAGGCTCTAGAAACAACACCATATTAGTAAAACCTTTTTATGGAACTGCACCGATGAACCAACTAAAACTACTTACAAACTAGTATTAAAAAGGTTTGGGTTTACATACTGTAATTACCTGCTCAACTGGAGATGGGAATAGATACCCTGGCAGGTCTTTTTGGAACCATTCATGTTTCTTTACATCCTCAATAGAGGCTCTCTTCATCGGGTCCACTTGCAGCATCATACATAGCAAACTAACTACACTCTTATTCAGGTACTCAGGTATGGGGAATATGCCAGATTTAATCTTCCTGAACAGTGTCGGAACATGTTCATCGTCAAATGGTAGTGTTCCACAGAGCAGAGCATAGAGTATGACTCCACATGACCATACATCTACTTCTGGTCCAGCATATAGTTTTCCTGATATAACCTGTGGATAAAATAGTTAATATTCATAACTGAAGTTTGAAGCCCAAAGCCAGGATTTTTGTTACTTATTAGAATGTTTATATTCTAATAGGAAAAATTCTAATATGAAATGATTTCTTAAAATTGGAATTTTCTAATGGAGGTAAACAAACAAGTTCAATAAGAAATTACCAAAAAGTATCTTGGAATACATAATATATTGTATTGAATTTGAACCTGTGTTGAATTTACATCATAATATCAGCATATTTGTTATGTTCCAAGCTAATTTTGTATACATTGTAAGTAGAGCACATAAAATATGAATAATGTGTATGTGCCATTCTTTGTAAACTAACATTTTAAGAAATGTGATGAAAACTAGTCCAGTACAAAATCTAAATAAGATTGTGGTAAAATAAGTATTCAAGTATACCTCAGGTGCTGCATAATTAGGTGATCCACATGATGTCCTTAAAAATTCTCCATCCATCATCATGTTGGAGAGTCCAAAATCAGCTATTTTCACATGCATGTTGTGGTCAAGAAGGAGGTTTTCAGGTTTAAGGTCTCTGTGCACTATCATGTGTCTATGGCAATAGTCCACACCTGATATAATCTGTTGGAAAAACCTCCTGGCTTCATGCTCTTGGAGCTTGCCTCTCTTCACTATATAGTCAAACAGTTCACCACCAGACACATATTCCATTATCATGAATATGTCAGTTGGAGTGGATATCACCTGGAAAAAATATATCGTAGTTACACATTACACAATAATTTATTTTTATATGTTAGTTAGGTACAGGAAGAACAATGTAAACTATAAGAGTCAAGTGACTTGTTCAAGGTCAAGTGACATTACATACGTATGTAGCCCCGTACCTGGTACAGTTTAATAATATGCGGGTGTCTGAACAACTTAAGGTTCTGTATCTCACGTCTGATCTTTCCCACGACATCGAGGCTCTTTATCTTCTGTCTGTTCAGAATCTTCACGGCGACCTTGTGTTTGGTCAGCTGGTGCTCCCCTATCTTCACCTTGCCAAAGGTACCGACACCAAGGGTAGCTCCCAGCGTATAATGCCCTATCTTTACAATGGGCTGGTTGCCACTGGTTATGACAATCTTCTCTGCCATCTTTCACAAAAATAATAGTAAACACTTATCAACAAAGCCCTTTACATGGGTATATAAAACTATATAAATATAACAACTATAAAGTTATGTTGATTTAATTAAAACATAACAAAAAACATAGTAAATAAAAAATACGCAGTTCGAAATATTAAAACACGATAACTTCGTATTTCTTCGAGTAGTAGCAATTTTGAACGAATGATGATGAACAATACGAATGGGAATGAAGATAAACGTCAAAACAAAAAGTGTCAAATATGAAAATTCTGCAACCTAAAGGGTCTTGTACACTGCATGCATCAGTAAGACTGTATTCTGCCCACCTAATCTACCACTTATAAAATTAATTAATCAATCGTCTTTGAATTGACACAGATATTTTCATATTGAACTTTCAAATTTTGCATGAATTTTTTTTGAAATAATAAATATTTGAATCATAAACAAAACGTAAATATTTTATTGTTGTCTATGAGTTTATGTCTTTTGCCGCTCCCCCTGCACTCCCCGCTCCCGACCCGCCCTGTGGATTTTCAGAGAGAGAGCCACTGAGGGCTGCTTTTTTAAAATAAATATCAGCAATTTTCTTAATTAATTTGATTTATTTAGTGCTACAGTGTTCGTCCGCTATGGACAAATGTGGGATTTGTCTTAAACCTGCGGTTGTAAGTACCTGTTTACTTGTTTTATGCGTCGTCTCGAAATATAACATCAATATTTTTTTGTTTTCTTTATGAGATTGTTATAAAAATAACGTCCCTGGACATTTGAGCTGCCTTCGTTTTCACAAAGCATACATTTTGTAATTGAACGAATTGGAATATTGTAGAAGATTAAGCACAAATGGGAAAAAACTCGACATTCGAAACCTGCCCGCGTATTTTTTTTATATTTTTTGTCGTTCAGAGTGTTTTTTTACGTCTGGCTCAGCGCAGTGTAAAAAACAACAGTGATCCTTTTTTATGTACTTGAATAGTGAACCTTGGCATATGCTGTAGGTACCACAAGCATCTCAGATAAATAATAATACCATTGCATTTTATAGATATTCACATATATAAAAACTTGTTTATTCTATTTTATTTAAAATTTGGTTGGCGTATAACTATGTGTACTGTTAGGCTTTATGTATAGTTCTAGTTTTGTTGACTGCACCAAAAAGTAACAAAAATCTAACAAGCCATAACTTTATGTATAAAATTTTTATTGTTTTTTTTACAGCAACTGTTTGAAACGGGGAAGGATGGAATATATGCATGCTTCAAGTGTCAGCCACTAGTGCCTGAGATTACTATTGGGGAGAATGGCACGGATCAAACAGTACCACAGACATCTAGCAACACCGAAGAGGTTTGTATCAAAGTATTTAATACAACAACCATGTAACTATACAACACACTGATGCAACAGACTAGAGAGGTCATATTCTTGTTATCTGATATTTGTTAACACTTTACATAATCAGAAAAGACATGTACAGTCTGCGCATCTATTTACTATGCAGGTAAGAAAATAAAGATTGATTTAGTACACAGACAGTCACTGTTGGTTGACAATTGGCTATTGTACCCACCAATGGATACTGAAGATTTTATGTGTGTGTTCAAGGGGATCTGGGAATGGTTTACATTCACAAATCAGCCTGGTAGATGGCGCTGCAGTCGATGTTTAGGTTATTTATCCTAAATAGCTGAACTAATTTGAATGAATTTTTGTTTAAACATTCAAGTGGATATGCAGGACAACGTCTGTTGGGTCCGCTAGTAATTTAGTATAATTAATTGCTAGGTACTGTCTCTTTACCAAGTCAATCTCCATTTTCTTACCTGCATAGTAAATAGCTGTGCTGATTGTACACAAGACAAATATTTCCAATATACATGAGCTCATTACCTATATAGAGTCTATTGATATAAACATTTGAAGAACACCATAACAACTGTCTTCAAAATTACGATAATTTTTTGAATCCCACTATCCTTAACTAATTTGTATTTGAAACAGTTTTTATTAGTTATCTCTATCTGTTTATTTTAATACAATCATAATTTAGCACCTTTTGTTTATGTTGGCTTCACAGTTCAATGTTTAGATAGTTTAAGTAACAGTAGCAGAATTTATTTAGTCTCATATAATATATAATAAGAGTTTTAACTTAGTGAAACCTTTTTTGTTTACTCTGCAAACAACTGATCTTTGAGCCAGCCTGAAATCTAAGTGGTAGTTTTTTGCTTTAGTTGAGTGATAGTTACTCTATTATCAGCTTTATTGTTTTTGTTGTACAGCCTATTTTTGCACAGCATAAAGTAAAAGTTATTAGAGGCACCTTTATTTTTGAGTTATTGCATTTAATGAGGAATCCCAAGTGTAGCTAACAGCTACATGTTTGAACCTTGCAGGAAAGCAATGAATCATCATTGTATTGTGGCCTCTGCCACAAGTCTTTTCAGAAGAACATGCAGCTACAGAACCACTTGCGCAACCATCGTGCCGAGAGACGCTTTGTCTGCACCTACTGCAATAAAGGTGATCACTTATTCAACCATATCATACCATATGATACATTAGTCCTTATTCCATCACTGTCCCAGTTAATTTAATAATACATCAATAGTCATAAGACTTTTTTTATAATATCACTAATAATTGGTGTACTGTTAGTTTACTATAAGTGTAAGCATGTAACCTTAATGGGGCAAAACTTTAACATCTTTTGAAGCAGCCTAAATTATATTCCAGCATTCTCCCAGTCGAACAACTTAAGAGCGCACCTTCGTATCCACACGAACGAGCGACCCTTTAAATGTTCTGAATGTGGGAAGGCTTTCACTCAGGTATGTACTTTATATAGTTATTTAATATGTTATCTAACCTAATGTAATGTCTATGGTAACTAATGTATCTTATAATATATAATATTTAATGTAAATATTCAAGAACAAGACTTAAGAAAAAGTGTATATAAAACTGACATAACTTGTAGATATAAAAAAGCATTAGTTCTTATTCTGAGTTCGATAATATTTCTATTTCCTTTTCTTAAACGTAATAGATGACGATTGCCGCATAATTCCTCTTCTATCTTCAAACGACGTCTTATAAAAACAGATGCGTTTTATTTTTTCGTTTGACGTGAAATGAAATCAACGTTAAGAAGTTTTTACTACGCCAATGAGGATAAAACATTATTTATTTCTCTTTTTAACATCTCAGGTGCAAGTTATTTGTTTTTTTTATTAAATAACTAATTTTGTTTTTCGCCAGGTCACGAATCTGAACAACCATGTGAGATTGCATACTGGCGAGCGACCGTTTGTGTGCCCAGAACCTGGATGCAATAAGGCGTATGCGCAGGTAATGAGAACATAATAGTAGCGTAGTAGTCTATAACTTCTTTTATTACCCGAAATGATAGTTAAAAGTCGTCTACTGAATAGTGGGCGGAAATATTCCTACAGCAAGCATAATTTTAGACTCTGTCCCAACACTAGTTGTCAATTATGAGATTTCATACTGGAGCGGATTTCATTTCTTGCGTTATTCTACGCTATTATAAAAAGATTAAAAAATCGCAATAATTCTTTAGCTTTGCTTGGTAGTTGCCCTTGTAACAACCTAATTAAAAAAACGTCGTAAAATTGTAGGTAACAAATCTGAACCAGCATCGCAAGCGTCACCTGAACGGTCGTCCAGTGGAGGCCACGTACGACTGCACCGTCTGTGGAGAGCAGTTCCAACAACGTAACCATATGTATATGCACAGGTCGGTACCGATTCAATCACAAATATTTTATTTATGCCTTTAAATTAGAGGGTTTGCTGTAATCCCCAAACTTGGTATGCAGGTTGAAGGTCGTAGTTTAAACGGTTCAGGTTTATTAGAGTGTATTTATGTTGATTTAGTAAATGAAATAAGTAGTCGTTTATTCCATACACTTCTTATCTTACCAAGTAAACGTATCACCCCACAGTTGGGTGAAAACAGGATCTAATCACTCAAAGACACGTAGGTGCGTAGAAAAATTCGACTACAAAAATAAGGCCACTAAATATAGAGCATCCCTCAATTACTTTTACATATACTATAATTTATAAATGCTTAAAAGTATATATTTTAAAATATTATTTACAGACGCGAGGTGCACTCCGAGCTGAAGAGTCCGGGTCGCAGTGAGTCGCGGCGCGCGAGCTGTACTGTCTGCGGACTGAGCTTCGCCAACCACAGTCTGCTACAGAGACACGTGACACAGCATCATAACACTAGCGCGGACACCGACGACAATGACAGTAAGCACCATTTAGTGTTTATTGGATAGAGGAGCGATAAAGCAGACGGATTACCTGACGGTAAGCAATCAGTGCTGCTCGTGGACGTTCACATCACAAGAGAAGTAATAAGTGCATTGCCAGGTTTTGGTAGGAGCTAGGAGAGGATGGGGTATCTGGGCCGCGATTGCCTTATTTTGCTGCTTCGATGTGAGGCTTCGTAATATGTAAACTAATGATACTATATTTAATATACCTATAGTTTTATGCGTTTTATAGTATAATTTTTCAGTTATGGAAATAACGGTATATCCAGCAACTAATTGAGATTTATTTGAGCAACCTAAGGCCGTGCGTGCGCACGGCGCGGGTGGCCACGAACGGGGCGTGGTGTTCATGTCCTCCCATACATCGGCGCTGCATGCACCGCGTCGCTCGTGGGGCCTGCCCAACGTGACATTGTTTCAGAGACGGAGTACTCGTGCGTGTTCTCGTCGTGCGGCGCGCGCCTGCCGTCGGCGCGCGAGCACACGGAGCACCTGCTGCGCCAGCACCAGCTGCGGGTCCTGGCGCACTCCGCGCACCCGCCGCGCAGGGGCCGCCCGCCTAAGGCATGTATCATGTCGTCACTTGAGGAAACAACATTCCACTGTAAATAGTATCCCTTGTTCGCCATTATGCCCACACTGATTGTGATTAGAGGATCTCATATTTAGACAATATTGCACTCCATCATCTTGTTGTTTGTCGCAGATTATTCAGATATTAGGATACCAATAATAATAACAAACCTTGCTACATTTCTATCTTCTACCTTTGTTCAATGCAACGCAACAGAGAATTTTTGTATTTTTGTATTTTTGAATTTTTATATTTTAACACAATTTGTTCATCTTTTCTTTCATCCGAGACTATACTATATTTTCTTGCGCAAATTGAGCAATTGATTTGCGCTGTTTGCGCATAACTTTATCATTGCGCATACATTCAATGTAGTCTGAATATTTTGTTATTTGTTTTCAGATGATGAAAGACCCGTTGGAAATAAAAGAGGAAGATTATCATGAAGTATGTAGAGGATTTTATCAATATTTGATTTGATGTATTAAAGTTCAAACGATTAATGAATTGTTTCATTACAGGTAAAAATAAGGAAATCCTCCCAGCCGCAATACTTGCCCAAGTTAAAAGTGCAGAGTTTATTCCAGTGAAATACTTTAGTAAGTGCAACATGTAGGCGTCTGTTCAGACTTGTGACGTACATACATACCTTCATATGAAATAACTACTTTATTTCGTAAGCAAAAAAATGCATTTTGCGATCTCGTCAGCTTGTCTGAACAAACCCATAGTGTAAATGTTGACGCGGGAGTCCGGACATTGTTGTATTTCTCTAAGTTAGGGCCAACTAGGTAAGAAGATATGCTTTGTACTAATTATTATTATTATTTGTACTTAATTTTTACTTTGTCTTGTGTAATTACAGGCCTATTTTGTTGTACATTGGTACTGGTATATTCCATTTTAGTTGTATGACGTAATTCATAATTGGTACTTTATCGCGGTTAGGTAGGGACCGGTGAAGGAGGAACCTAGGTAGAGAAAGAGCATATATTGTGTTCATAATAAGGTTGATATTCGGACCGAGAAGATCGAATCTCACCATGTGGCATCGATTTGAATGTATAAACATAAAATAAGGTTATATTTCGATTTTTTCTATGAATTCAATATAAAATAACGATCGTTTTGCATTAATTACGTCATACATGTCTTTCATATAAAATAGATTATTTACAATATAAATCGAATATTTAGTTACAGAGTATAAAACTGTTTTTGCAAATTTATTTAGGGTGAGAAATATTTTATAAGTACAGCGAAGTAGTGATAGCAAAATTTTATTATTTGCACGAAAAATGATTCTCAAAAATATGTAAAATTATTAAGAATAATGAAAATCAACAGTTATAAATAATAATGTTAAGTGATAATAAATAAGTGCAATTTATTGTAACAACTTTGTAACATTGTTTGTTACGTTAGGATAAGTATTAACTTTCAATATTTTATTTTTCACTTCCAAGCCGTAGTTTGTAAATGTCAATAGATATATAAATAGTTCATGGGCAGGCAGAGGGCTTAGTACGACTTTGTTTCACGTTTAACGTAATTGGAATGAGACTGCGTTCGGCGCGTGGCGCGGCGTGGCGCGGCGCGGCGGGTGGTTCATTAGAGCCGGCCAATCAGAGCGTCGTACGCGGTCTCGTTTCAATTATTTTAAACATAAAACAAATTCGTACTAATTGCCCCCAGAATATATAATACTATATATGCCATACTCGGTACTATACTTTGCTTTTATATTTATTAAAATCTGTTCTATAAAAGACTGTGATGCGGTGTTCGAAATTGCCATTATATATTTTTTACGTTTGACTTCAAAGTGTAATCAAGTATTTTCCAGTATTATAAATTATACCTATATTTTTTCGAGTTTCGGTTTAAGTATTACTTTTGACTTCATTTATATTTTACGTTTATATTTGCACGCTTTATTGTGACACTTTGTTGGATTTGATAAGTTTGTACGACTGAAAATTGAGAATAGTGTTCGGCGATGGATGTTGCACATCGACCTTTGGAAAGACAATTGGCCAAGTCGGGACAAGCCACAGCGCTTAGCGCTCATGATAAAGATTAGCTGGCACCTGGCTGGATCCTAGAATCATAAATAAAAAGATTCAAAGAGAAAAAGTTTTGTACAAATACTAATCATATTATCCAAGAGTCAACGTGCAACATTTATCGCCGGTTACTGTATATTATGTATTTGGAGTTTTGTTGTGGGTAGTATATTTTCGATAAGCATATGGCAGCCATAGCGGTCGCACGAGATTAATTATATTTAAAATTATAATGCAATTAGTAAATTAAGAATGAATTTATTTACGACACAAAAGTTGGACCCCTGACCCATTTTGTTTGCGGTCTATAGAATTTTATTTACAACAGTGGTCGAGGGTTATTTCCTCGCTAGCTATGGTAGATGTAAGCTTATCGTAGATCTTGCGTGTCATGTCTATGACCCGTGTATCGGCTTGATTTTTATCTAATTTTTCGCATACTTTTAAAGTATGTATATTTTAACCCGTTGAAAATTGTTGAAAATCGTCCCGTAAATTTGTTCATAAACATTGGAAATAAGGTCTATAATGTAGTTACTGGAGAGCGGTCACCTGTGACCGCTTGGGGATATATGGGTTAAGTTCATTTTATGAATTTCTGTAACAGATTTTATCGAAAATGGTTCAGTGGTTGAAGGGTGGAAGATCAACAAAGTTGCTTTCACATTTATAATATTTAAACTGTCAAACACCAAGCGGTCACCGGTGACCGCAACCTATTGTTCTATAATTGTGTCTACAAAACCGGTACTCGACGAGTTAATATTAAGGTGATACATTTACACTTGTTTCATTCAATTTTCACGGCATAAATAAAGAAAGGTTCTTCTTCTGGGGACCACCACTAAACGGTAAATATGCAAAATATACTGTTGAACTTAATTTCAAAACTCTTTTACAATGTCTTATAGTCAAGACAATGGTTTTTATGAAAAAAAAAAGACAATTTGAGAGTCGAGGCTCCTGTCCTCTATTATTAGGCCACTTCTCATTCAGTTAATCGGTTTATTTCTTGTATAAAGTAGATATGACGAATCTTGTGTAAAGTACAGCTGATACACGGGTGATGAATACACGTCCGATAGAGATATATTGCGTTAGGATAAGGTGCAAATGTTCCTATGAGTGTGTCAGAGTCGGTTCGACTATTGTCGACACAAGCCGCGTGTTGTATGATAGTCGACCATTTCAAAATATTTAGCCTTGTTAAGTGTCACCATGTCGGAGATTTTTCTATTAACATACAAATAATTACGGTAATAAAATATGCAACTATACTATGTTTTTTATTTTTGTATTTTGTGTTTATGAAGGGAATGAGATTGAGAATAGTGTTTCTGGTTAATTGTCTAATCTTTGTAGCCGTAAAAAATTAAATTACAATGGTTTGACACTAACTCATCTCGACAAATAGACCTCACGCTACATTAGGGCTCGTACAAAAACTGCGATGCGACTTCGCATCACAAAAATGTGCGAGCTCCCTCTACGTATTGCAAGAACTTGCGAATTGATTCGCATCGCGCATCAAAATCTTATTTTCCCAAAATCTTCTTTATTTCTCTTTCCTGTATCTCCTAAGCAATAAGAGAAGTGCACACTTAAGTGTGGGAGAGCCATGCTTCGTCACGAATGGGCCGGCTCGACCGGAGTAATACCACGGCCTCACAGAAAACCGACGTGAAGCAACGCTTGCGTTGTGTTTCGTCGTGTGAGTGAGGTTACCGGAGGCCCAATTACCTTCCCCTTCCCCAATCTCCCCAATCCCTGAATCCCCAACGATCCTCAAACTCCTAATCCCCAAAAAGCCGGTGACGCACTTGTAACTGGTGTTCCAGGTGTCCATGGGCGACGCCGATGGCTTACCATCAGATGATCCGTCTGCTCGTTTACCGGCTTATGCCATAAAAAAAAACACTTCTTTGTATGATCCATGTCACGACCTAGTTTTGGTAGTTCATTCTGGGGTCTCCCAGAGTGACCATTCTCTCGCCTTGTTGCACGAAATCGCATCGCAGCAATTCGCATCGTAATTTTCTGCGTTGCGAATTCGCATCGCATCGCAGTTTTGTGTACGAGCCTTAACTCGTCGAGTACCGGTTTTGCAGACACAATTATAGAACAATAGGTTGCGGTCACCGGTGACCGCTTGGTATTTGACAGTTTAAAGTTATCGGGTATTAAAGTTCGGTATTAAAGTTCGATAAAGAGCCGAGTTTTAAAGTTATCTGGTAGACAAAAAACGGAAATACGTATTAAGGTGCTCAATATCCAACCAGAAAGATCGCATTCCTACCAAAATAAATCATAATGTGTAAATCAACAGTGGGGATTGTACTCACAAATGTAACATAGTCATCCAAATTGTAAAATACCAACAATGCACATAACTGTATTATAGGTACTTTCATTGTTTACTTATAAAAACAGAACCTTGCGAAAACAACCGTGCAATTTACCGCTCACTGCACAGCTCAAGTAAAAGGGCACGAGGTCAGGCGCTTTAGACAAGTTGGAAGTATACCTACCTATAGAGGAATATTTAATTTGACACCTCTTAGAATTATGCTGTCTGACAGCACTACTTATTACGTTGGGGCAATTAGTTTAGGGTCAATTAGGTGTACATACAATGAAGAACAAAATTAAATTTAAATAGGCCGGCCTCCTCCTTCATTGAAGTACATCAATAAGTCCTATTTATCTGTACGTACACTACTTACTACACTATTTATAGATAGATAACTTAGCTTCTACCCGCAGCTTCGCCCGCGGTGCTAGGAATTCTACGGTATCCCACGGCTGTTCTTTATTTCAGACTATAATCCACCCTGTTCCAAATGTCATGTCTAGCCCTACGGTTTTTTTTTGTCGCAGAGAACCTAACGGGTTACCGGGGCTCCGGCTCAACGTGCAGGAGAAGGAACGGGGTGGTTTTTAGCCAGTAAGAGTCTGACACTCCCTCCCGCCTCACCCAGGCGGGAGCAGTCATTCGATGATTTTCCGCCCTTAAAAAAAAGCCCTCTACCGTTTTGACGGTATAATTGAGTAACAAAGATACCTACTCACAATACTCACTTATAGTTAGATTTACATAGCTATTGCCTTGTTGGCTGATAAATCTCGCATCTATCGAGCAAAATGTTTTAGTTTCCATCCCTGGAACTGCGACATTTTTCAGGGCCTGCGTGTGATGTGTTGGTGAAATTATGTTTGCTTGTGACATAACATAACATCAACCCTTTTATCCCGAAGGCGTAGGCAGAGGTGCACATTACGGGACTTAATACCACTATACAATATACCACATACTTTTTACTATTTAATTTATGTTATGAGTCCCATGCACAGAAATATTAATATGGTCCCATGCATAGGGGGTGAGCTTATTGGTATATACCGGGCACAACTACAGACTCCGTGCTAATACTGAGATAAAAAAAAATCCTGGGCCTGGGAATCGCACCCGAGACCCCTTGCCCAGCAGTCGCACTTTGCGATCACTCGGCCAACGAGGCAATTGTGAAAAGACATGTACGGTTTAAGAAGCAAATACTAGAGTAGGTATGTCAAAAACCGATACGAAGCCGGGGAAGACTTAACGGATTGCCAGGTCTGACACTCCCTCTCGCCTCACCCGGGCGGGAGAAGTCATTGAATGATTTTCTTCCCTCAAAAAAAAAAAGTACGGCAAAAAAGAGTGAGCAATCGTATACCTATAATAAAGTAGGATATAAAGTTATGGGTATTTATCTATGTATCACGAGACATTCCTAAAATATTATCTGCCTATCTAACTCGAAGACAGTTTTATTATTTATTTATTTATTTCAATTAAATAGTATAACATTACAGTCATAAAACCAAGGCGTTTTTTGTTTTGATTGTAAGCTAATGTATGTATTATGTACTGAAACAACTGAATATATTTTTATATTATCATTTTTTTCGATACATTGATAAAAATGACGGTTTAAGGTAAATGAACTTCGATGTCAAGTTACCGTTTCAAGGCCGAAGAGTTGTTTTCGTATTAAAAAAATATTTACTTTTTAATATATACATATAAATAGAGAATCTAGTTGGTTGAATTCTCTAGGGATCAGATGACATAAACAACAACATGTCACATCATTAGGTTTCCTTTGATTGCTTCTTTGGCAAGCAAGTGATCGCAATTTTGTCTGCCGGACAAGAGGTCTCGGGTCGGGTAAAGCATTAGTCTGGGCTAGACGGTCTAGCACAGAGTGTAAAATCGCACCCGGCACATGGCAATAGTCTTACTTACTAATACCTTTCTTGATCTTATGTCTGAATACAAACTAACACAACATATAAAAGAGCCAACCCACATAACACAAACCACATCTACATGCTTAGATTTAGTATTTACTAACTTTAATACAAAAAATCTACTCACACATGTACAAGAAATGGGTTTTTCAGACCATTATGGTACTATACTAAGCTTTAACATACCACAGCAACAAAATAATATAAATTGGTATATAAAAAAGCGGCTGTTTAACTCAAATAACATAAATAAATTTAAACAAGAACTAACTACAGTAAATTG